GGAGGCCCTTGGCCTGTGGGCGCGCGGGAAGAAGTTGATGTAAGGAGAGCAAAGGAGTCCCTTTGCTCAGCGAGCCTGGTCGGGCTGAGCTTGGGGCTGGGTCTAGGTTTGTGTTCAGAATAAAGGAAAAAATTGGAACAGGGACGTTTAATTTACTGTGGGTGTCAGGTTGTCATTGGCTGACCTTGGAGGTGAACGTGGAGGAGAAACAGTGTGGGGAAGGTGTTGGATCACTTCACTCAGCAATGTGTAGTGATGCTCTGGTGGGGTATTGAGAAGGCAATATGCAGTTGTAACAACAACAAAGCTTTCCTCTTATTCCTCTCTCTTTATAAGCAAAATCTAAATTCTTTTTGTTGACTTAGTACTTATCTAGCAGGTTAAAGTCAACTTAAAGGATGGATTTTTGGTGTAATATTTTCTACTTTTTTTTTTTCCTGTAAAATCAACATTAGCTTCTGGAGAATATTGGATAATATTGACTTCACACAGTAAAGTAGTATGCTTAAATGTTAAAATGAAAGCACACATAATTGTAAAAATGTTTATCTCAATGTATTGCAGATTGTGCTGGACCTTTTCAAGCAACTCAGTTGTGGAATAGCATTATTCATGCTCTTCAAAGCCAGGTGGAAATCAAAAGGCGTAGGCAGCATCTGAAAACATATAAAAACTGTTTTACTGGTTCAAATGCTGTTGATGTAGTACTGAGTCATCTTATGCAAAGCATGTACTTAAGCTGTAATGATATTTCCCGACTGAAGGGAATCCGTGTGTGCCAAGCACTGATGGATCACAAGGTGTTTGAGCCAGTTGGAGCAAAACTTAACTTCTTCAAGAATGAAAAAGAGCAGGAGTTTGAAGACACGAGTAGTAGTCTCTATAAATTTGTGAATAGCGATATCACTCCTCTTCTGAGAAAGAATAAAGACAATGAGAGCTTGTCCCCTCAACAAATTTATGGGCAGAAGACAAAAAGTCATTCAAAGTGAGCATTCTGAACTTTGATTTGTGTTTTTGTGTGTGCATCTGTTTTTATTTGCTTTTTTTCCCTTTTGAAATTATGGAAATTTATGCCCTGTCTGGTGTTGGAGACCTTTGAAAACTAGTAGTGCGTGCCACTTCTGGAAAATCTTTTTGCCTGAATCTTGGATGCTACCTAGCATTTCATTGTAATGTTAAACTGACCACTCCACTGTTATCTAGATCCATTCTAGCACAGTAGCATAGCCCTAGGATTTTTTTTTTGTTTCTCTCCTCACACTGCCCTCCCCTACTATAATTCTATTTCTTGACCTCACCAGCTGACCAGCTGTTCAGTGAATAGTAATGCATATAAAAAAACAAGTGGCCAGTTAGAAGTCTTTGTGCAGTTTTCTGTGTTGATCAAATAATCATTGCAAAGACTTAAGGAAAAAAAAAAAAAAAACAAATTTTAGACCTCTTTATGCTATGTCTTCCTTTTGTCACGTGGAGCCTGCCTAATAGAGCTGACCCCTGAGCGCTGATATGAATGAACTGCTGGTGAGAAGCTGGCAAGTGAAAGGAAACTCTTAAACAGAACTTCGAGGCAATATCCTTCCCCTTCCAAAAAACGTAGGTGGCTGCTTTCCTGGCAGCAGGATAAAGCCCTAAGGTTGAGGTGTGGAAAACTGAGAGTTTGTGTACTGATTGTAGTTGTGTACATCTGGTCTTTTTATTTTCTGTGTCAGGATGAAGTGTGAAACAACCCTCTCAAATCCCTTAGCCTTAGAAGCAGCTGATAAAAAGTGGATAGAGGAGTTACTTCAATCAATAAATATTTATCCAACTTTACCTCCAAAGATCAGGGTTAGTGAACCAACTCAACAACTCTCAAAAAAAGGTGAGTGGTGAAGTTTTCTTTTTTAAAATGTTTGCTCTAAATGTAACAACATTGCTTTTTTTAATTATCTTTATTTGGGCACTCAGTGTTACAGGAGCTAAGTCTTGATTGTAATGCAGCAGCTTGCTTCTGAATACTTCAGGAACCGACATTTGGAAGGGGGTGAATCCAAAAACAGTGGGGTTGCTCTGTTAGTAGAGGCTCTTCTCACCCTGATGAGCTTCAGTCCATTCTTTCATACTAAAGATTGGAAGGACATAATACATAGGAATACTAAGCTAAAAATGTTACTTCAGCTACCTTACTGAAATTCAGTGCTTAGAATATAATCATGTTCCAACTGAGTGCAGCTTATGCATGGTACTATGCTTCTTTTTCTATTATTTTTATTTTCCCAAAATAAAAATATGAATGCTTAAATATTTAAGTGTCTTATTCATAGTTTAAGGATGCATACTTACAATTCCTACAAACTAGTAAATATTGCATATCAGGCATAGCTTGTACACTTTTAAAAGGTCATTAGCTGGCCGATCTTACCTTTAAAAGAACATAACTGTGCAAAACAATAAAAATAGGATTTAGATATCAAATTAGGGACTTCAATAAATGGAGAAAACTTAAGCTAAAATATGGTCTTAATCCTGTAAGAAATAAAATCTCTAATCAATATTTCTATTTTTTTTCCTGTTTTTACAGTTGTTTGCTGACAGTGTTTTGTTTTGTTTTTATGGGGGGAGGCAGGGAGTGGCTAAATTTGAGAATCATGACAACTCCTCATCTGGCGTGATTTCGATTAAATGGAATTATTTCTTCCAAATGTTGCTCCCCTGTCTGAGTGCTAAACTTAGTGTCACTAATGATTAGTTAGCAGAGAATATCAAATTGTTAAAGGGGCATAGCAAGTAAACTGAAAGACATGAAACAGGATTAACCCTTTGTAGGACTGTGGAAGAGCTGTGTAGGTTGGCAAATAGCACTTGAAAAAGAAATGCTTTTGTAAGACTAAATTGCCTCTTTCTTAAATATCTGTTAAGCAGTTTCTTTTCAATTCACTTGCATTTTTTGTACATTTTACCAAAATACTAGAGTAGCTTAGTTCTATCTGACATGATAGAAGAGATGCTGTCTTAGCAGTCGTCTTGCTTGTACCTGTGTTCTGATCCCTTCTTTCCCCAACCAAGAAACTTGCAAGCTATTGTTACTTTGCTTTCTTTTAAAACTTAAAAGATTCTTGATTGAGTTGAAACACAGGTTAATAATTTTATATTAGATGGCACTTCTGGGTGGCTTAATTTTCTGATTTATTTGTGTTAGTTATAGAAGATATCTGGAAACAGCAAACTCTGCTACGACTACTGCAATTAATTGATGTTCCAGTTCTAGAAAATATTTTGGTGTCTTCAGTGAAGTCAAAACCAGAGTGTTTTGGCAGAGAAGAGGACCTGGTCATCTCAAATACTTTCCTTGACAGAGAGGTTATGGCTAGCCTAAATTTGCCTGAGTAAGTTACACATCTGTGTATGGGTGTGTGGTTTGTTTTGTTTGTTTGTTTTGAAGTTAATTAGCAAACAATTTATTTCACCCTTTAAGATTGCTGTTTTGTGAGCAAAATAAGACCTTGTTACACTTTCATATTCTTAAACTGGGATGGTGTTAAATCTTAAACTTAATCTTAAACTGAGATGTGCTTTCCCCTTGTTAGATTCTTTTCAAAAGTGGTAAAGGAGGTCACAAAAGTTATGTCTTTGTGATTGTATGTATGAAGCTTTTCAAGTACATTAGAAATGATGTTGCAAGCATTGAATGATTCCAGATACTGGAAGAATTTTATTTCACTCTTAGGTCCCTATCCCAGATTAAAAAAAAAAAATGAACAGATTTGTTCTGGGTCTGTGGGGTTTTTGTTTGTTTGTTTGAAGGGATCTTTACAGTTAGAATGGCTAGGGCTCAAGGGGGTTTAGTCACATATCCTGGTGCTGTGAAGACGTAAAAACAAGAAGCTACTTGTTCTTACTGGTACCAGACAAGAAGCAAAGCTGTAGCACTGAAGCATGCTTATGATGTGAAGGATATATAAAAGTAAAGATGTCTGCATGCTTTCAGTGGTTTTTTTAATGTTCTATTTTTGTAGTGTTTCTGTTAATTGCTCCTGGGCCGATCTCTCTGGCTTAGTTTGTAGTTTTAATGAATATATTCAGGCATGCTTTGAAACAATGTTTCTGGGAGGAAAAAAAAAGGGGGGGAGGGGAAAAAATGCAAGGGAATCAAAGATTGTTGATGTTGGAAGGAAACCCTGGAAATCATCTAATCCAGCCTGCCCTGCTCAAGCAGGGTCACCTGGAGCATATGGCGCAGGGTTCTGTCCAAAGAGCATTTGAATATTGCCAGAGAAGGAGACCGCACAACCTCTCTGAATAACTTGTTCTAGAGAAGGAGACCCCACAACCTCTCTGAATAACTTGTTCCGACACTCCATCACCTTCCTGGTAAAGTTTTTCCTGAGGTTCATGAGGAAGTTCCTGTGTATTTGTGCCTGTTGCCTCTCATCCTATTGCTGGTAACTGCTGAGAAGAGTCTGGCCCTGATCCTGCTGACATGCTCCCTTCTGATGTTTATATGCATTGATGAGATCCTCCCTCACTCTTCCTTTCTCCAGTCTGAAGAGTTCCAGCCCTCTCAGCCTTTCCTCTTTAGAGAGATGGTCCAGTCCCTTAGTCATCTTACTCACCTTTGGATAGGGACTTTTTTAGAAAAGCTATTTTCCATTGGCTCTACATTAGAAGACCTTCTACACGGCTTAATGTTACAAGCAGGCCCTACAATAAGTAGCTGAGCAACAGGACTGTTTTGTAAGAATCTTTTTGAACTGTCTTCCTCCCCAGCCCCAATTACTTATTAACTTCCACAGCCTTCCAGGTTTTAAATTTTTTTGATTGATCATGTTTTCAGACTGGTTGTATCATTTCCCTCCTCAAATATTCCAGTCCCTGGATGTTACACTCTGATCAGCTCTGGGTTTTCCATAGTGTTTGTTGGGAGAATCTGACTAATGTCATAAGACTGTCACTGACCTTATGCGATTGCAGCTGTCTTTTGATACGGACGTCTCAGGCATATTATCTGTATCTTCAAACTACTGTCATGAAGTAAAATACATAAATTGCTTAATGAGTGGCAAAGTTAATGCTGTGGCTCAAATAAATGGTGGTACCTGCATGGTTCTGTCTGATTTTCTTTAAGGGGTGAAATAACATTAGATAGTGCATTTTAAAATAAGCACTAAAACTAACTTTTCCTTCTGCAGGCTTGACAAATGGCTTTATGCTGCAATTGAATGCTTGGAGTATTTCCCAGACCAGTTCATAGTGATGGTTAGTCAGCAGTTACCTGAAAGCAATAACAAACCAAGCAATCTGGATACTTACAAGAAGATTCTATTTGATGTTATAATTAAATATTATAGTCAAAAGAAGGACTCCCTTCTTGACATTCAGGATCTTGATATTCATGCAGGAATTATAGAGCTTCTAGGTAAGAGCATCTTTGAACAAAAAGTAAGAATCAAAGCTGTCTAAAGGGTAAAACATACTAAGTGTTGACCAAGGTTGAATGATCGCATCTGCTATGTTATTGCAGATGTTCTTTAATTTAGATTGGAACTGTGCAGGGTCAGGTTCAGGTGAGTTTTGAACTTCAAGGCTAGAGGTTTCACAATTTCTGTGGTTAACCTCGTCTAATACAGAACTAGTCTCATTATGGAAAAAGTCTTATGTCTAGTCAGAATTTCCCTTGTTGCTACAGTTGACCAGTAACACAGATCTAAAATCAGTCTGTCATATGGTTTACTTAACCTACAAAACCTTCCAGTTATGGATTTATTTTATTAAGTAATAATTGTTTAGAATGATACAAGGGGTTGTTGAAGTTTTCATTCAGGCTATAATCCTCAGCTTCCCACTGCTTTTCACAAGTAATGCAGAAGGGTTTAATTAAAGTTTAAGATTAATCCTGCCTTAGGTCCTGTTACTACTTCAGCACTGTAGGGCTTATACAATATTAATGAAAACTCTAGTGTTCAGAGACCTCTTCAGAGCATGCTGGCATAGGAACACTGTTGTCTTTTATAAAAGTTGGAGCAGAGGTAGATGCTGTGTCCAAACACTCATGAAAATACAAAAGGCAACTTTACTAACCATATTTTGTTATGAAAAAATGAGTGAAAATACAGGGGCCATGAAAGGAAAACCTATGGCAAAATTACATATCCTAGTTCTAAGAGAAGAATGCTATTTTGAAATAACTGACTTAGCTGCAGCTAACTTCTGCTAAGTGTTTCCTTACATTTAAGATGTTTTAGCTTAAATATGCAGTTTTAATAGAAAACATGTAAACTGCTAAAAGAGACTACTGCTAAACTAGAGAATCAAAACAGTAAAAATCTCTGGGCAATTTGAGAGTTCCGTAATTCTTCATGCTTAGTTAAAAGCTCTAGTTGTCTGTAGCACTTTTTGTTATTCCATTAGCTTTTTATAATCTAAACATGTCCTCTGGTTATTTTCTTTATTATTCTTAACTTTATTTTCTTATTCTTATATCTTTCTTCTAACTTGTGTAAACACATCTTGTGAGCAGTTTCTAACTGACTTTCTTCTTGAGGAAGTAACCCTAAAGTTGTCATTAGGAAATGACTTCCCATTTTTGAGACACAGTTTGAGTTCCTAAGTCTTGTCTCAGCTGTATTCTTGCCCTCTCTAGACCACGCTTGGAAGATGGTGCTGAATTTGCTTACATCCCCTTTGCCCTCTTAGGGATATGAGACTGGTTACAGCTGTCGTGCACAGCAGCCTGCATTCCAGCAGTGGTTTTCAGGTAGGATCCAGTCCAATCAGTTTGGATAAAGTGCTGGTCTTCTCACTCCAGCTCAAAATAGCCATGAATATCTACATATTTAGAATTCTTTCACAAGTAATTTAGGGAGATTTTGTACAGAGGTGTGTGGTTTTTTTTTTTTTTTTTTTTTGTACCGAGCTATATGTTATTTTGTATAACTCTATTTTTCATGTTATTAGTGTGTATAGTTATGGAGAAAATCCCTAAATTCTTAAGCAAGTTGATTTAAGATGGGTGACCATGCAGATGTGTTGTAGGAAAGCATGCTACTGTGCCTTCTTGCCTAAAATAAACAGAACAACAGGTTTAGTCTAATTATGAAATGGGCAATTGCAGTCAGTCAAAATAACCCAGGTGGTCCATTAAATCAGAATCTTTTGAACTCTAGTTTTTTTTTTTTTTTTTTTTTTTTTTTTTGCTCACCTTCTTAGGCTGTTCTTTCTTGCTTTTTGTCTGCTCTTTTCCAAGTAGGTCTCTTCCTCACTCTCTTGTGTGTTTGTTGTTGTTTGGATTTAAATCCAAGTTTTTTTTTTTTTTTTTAAGTTGCCTGTTGCACACCCCTGAAAATCCTGGATTATTTCTTGTCCTAGTAACAGGATGGAGGCCAGAAAACTATACCTGTCTTATACTATTTTATCTCTCCTGTACCTTGCTGTTGCCTTAAGCAAATTTATTTGCTTCTTGATGATTTCTCACTTTCAAAATCCATATAACTGTATAATTATAAATGGAAAGGATTATTTAGAAAGTTATTTCCACAGTATTGCTGTTCTGTAAATGCCTTCAAAAGAGACTGGGAAGGGAGGGCTTCAGAGCAATGGGCAAGACAAAATTGTTCAGGTTCACCAATTGCTTTGAGATGAATCTTGGATTATGATACACAGATAAATGTGGAAACACAAGTAGTTCAAATGTCACTTCAGCGCTTTTACATTTTACACAGAACATTATTGAAGATATTTTCCAAGCTTATCTGTTACGTGTCTAGCTATACATGAGGGCTTTAAGGTTATATGGATTATATACTGTACGGAGTCTTTTCAGAAGATTTTTTAGAAGACACTGAGTTAACCTGCTTTGAAATAAACCAGGAATAACTTTGGGCTTAAATATATTTTAAGTACAAATTCTTGACTTTGAAAACACAATTGCACTGGATACACTATTTTACTCCATTGCAGAAAAAGGAAAAACAGAACAAGCTCTAGAGGCATCACAGCTCTATTTAAGATTATTAGCACCAAATATCCGAGAAGAACTTCATAGACTGCTGACATTTATAGCCATTGCATCAGAATCTGAGGGCTACAAATTGCAGAAACAAGTACGTATCTGTTATCTTTAGTGTGGGAACTAGCCATAGTGAAGCTAATAGTTTTTTGTCAGGGGTTAAAAAAAGTCTTATTGTTGTCTTCTAATGTGATCTATTTTAAAGCAAGTTTCAATATGTTCTTCCTATACTGAAAGCCTCCTGTTACATTTAATCTTTGGCTAATTCCCTGCAGCAAATATAATGCCAAATCTATGTTCTTTTTCTAGTTTGATAATAGATCTGTGATCATCAAGACGTGTACAAAGTTCATTTTACAGAGCAAGACATTGTCAAAATCACAGGTAGACCAGCTGGTTCAGTTTCTGATGGACAATCACTCTGACCTCTTCAAGGTATTATTATTATTTTTCTCCTTACCTTGAAGACTTTGTCACTTTTAATGTAAAGTAACACATAGTGGCTTTATGGGGATGGGAGGTCAGAAATGAGGGGTTGAAGTTCTACCTGTTAGTCTGGTATATGGTATAGCCAAGCAGGGTCAGAGGTTGTTCCAGGCCGTGAGAATGCTTTTCTGATGACTTTACAATCTGTGATATACAATATTCTCTCTTTATATTCACCTCATTTTCATTAAAGTATTTTGAGTATCAAAAAAAAAAAAAACTTTTTGGCACCTTGTTTTTGCTAGTTTTCTGCTACACTTCTGGCTGTCTTGCAGTGTTTTTCAGAAATCTGTTCACATGTTCTGAGTTGTATATCAAAAAACATTCTTGGTCTTAGTATGCATTCAGAGTTCTGTCAACTCCAGGAACTCCTTAGGTGTTTTGAAAAAGTAACTTCTAAATTAAAGCAAATAAGTAAAATGAAATGGCCTTCCTATTTGATCATGTTTGGTTATGTAAATATTCTATTGCCTGCTTTAGTGACATTGCAATGTATTTCATCAAATATATGAAAAGATCAGCCTTCCCAGATCTTATATTAACTTTCTGCATTTTAACCAATAAATTGGATAATATTTCTCTACTTTTTCTTTTCTTGGTTACAAAATTTCTCAATAAACCACTAAACTAGTAGTTCAGACTATCTTTGCTATTACATAATATATGTACAATATTGTAGGTATTTACAGCATTGTCATTACAAGTAAGCTTCACAGAAATATTCGTTTGGTTTCAATAAAATGTTAATGCTAATTCTTGTACAAAGATATTCATCTCTATTTCTGCCCTCTGCTAAAGTTAAGATATTTAGAAGTAGGATTTTTTTTTGTTGCTGAGTTTTATTTTTTAAGTTAGCTTCAGTTTAGTTTGGAAGTATTAAGTGATAAAATTCTGGGGTTTGTGCAAGTTCTCTAAGTCAGGCTCATAATTTCTTGCCTTTGTGTGGGACAGTAACTTTTACTTCTTTGTTTGGAAATTCAGAAATAATTGAGAATGCTTGTGTACTTTGCAATTTTATGAAGCTTTTGACTGTATAATTGATTAAATATGATAAACCTAAGGCTATCAGCAGTTAATTTTTGTTGCCTTAGGTGGATAATCTAAAAGCCATGGATTCTTAAAATACAGAAAGTGCCTTTTTTGTGATTGTTCTTTATGGGATTTGTGTTTTCAGACTCCTTTAACTCTTCTGGAACTAACTAGCAGGAGACTTGAAGGCTTGCTGGAAGGACAAGGTGCAGATATAAATTCAGGTAGACTATATGATAATGCATGTTCTTATTCAAACACTTCTATAAAAATTAGTTACAATCAGTATTGGCTAAAATTTCACATTGAATACAATCCTTTATTGTGAGAAAAAAATGGAAGTGACTAGATAAATAGCCAATTCACCAAATAATTAAATTGGCTGCTTAAAGTAAAGCAAAGCACTGCACTTTGAACACTGGGGAACAAGGTTTATCTGAATTCTGTAATCAAGTCTGAACGTGTTAAGGACATTTTCATTAAGTAGCTAGTTTCTGAGAAAACAGTTCAAAATAGAGGAAAAAACTATCTGAAGTGCCTTACTTGTAGCCTGGTTTCTGTGTATTTGACTTAGACTTTTGCCATGAGGTACTTAATATTCTCATAGCTCAACAGAGGTACTAATAGATGTCTAGAGCTTAGACATTGATGGTTTTGTTCAGAGATTTAAAAAGTCTTTTCCGTTTCTTGGTTAGCACAAAGGTTATTAAGAACTCAGATTGTAGTACTAGTATAGCCTAAAAACAAGCCATTTGATCTTCGTTACGTGACTGGAATTAAAATTATTTTTCTTCTCATTCATACATGTGGTATGGAGGCAATTTTTTTTCGCCCTGCCATTTATTTGTGCACTGTACTGGCCTTGCCATGGACTTGATGCACTCCCAAGGAGCATGATGACTGCAAAATGGCAGGTCTTGTCTTGTGCAGCTTTTTTTCTGGATGGCTCCTCTTTGCAGAGTTGTATCTTTTCTTTATTTTGAAGACCTCTTTCCCATACAAATCACCTGTGACCTCACACTTCTAACACTGTCTTCCAATTTTATTTTTGCAATTAGTGTTTATATGTTCATCTATGCTCAGTGCAGGGCTCTGCATTTAACCTCTTTTGTAGAGAACTGTAACTGTATCTGAACTGGAATAGTGACATACCTATGTTTCTGATAACTTCTGTAGTCATAGAGACTCTTACATGAGGTACAAAACTTAATTGGCCATTCTGGTTTCTTTAAAGGCTTCACCTTCTGTCAGCGTTTGACACCTAAAGAATATGAAGATCAAAAACAACAAACGAATCAGTATCTTCTGGCATTACTTCAAGAAATGGACAATGATTCCACTATTCCTTTGAAGCAGAAAAAGAAAATAATTAAGGAAGTTCAGAAATACCATTTTCTCAACTTCTGTAGTGGTTGTAAAACTGGATGTAAATTTTGCACTGTAAATGGTTAGTCATTGGTGCACCTTAATAAGGTGTATGAAAAATGCTCATGATTATTACTTCTAGATACAAATCATGTTCTGCTTATATCTCAATCTGCAGTTGCAGAAAACTATCACAAATTACTGTGCAGTTAAGAGGAATAATTACTAATTAATGAACCTTTTTGCACAAAAAGTACTTTTATGCATCCATCTAGTTACTCAATAATGGCACATGGCTTGTGCTGCTTTGAGTTCAGGTTTGGCACTTTTTTCCTTCTCTCTTGATATGGTTTTCTAGTTGAACGAAGATAACATTCAGAACCTTCCTTGGATTGCGGATCTGCAAGATTTTTTGACCTTTTATCTCTAGTTCATAATATAATATGATTCTCAAACTGTATGTGTGCCTGCAGTATCCTAGAAGTGTATGAAGAGTGTCAAAAGCATCAGGGGCAGCTAGCCCCTAGCTAGTCAGTGGGCGAGACTAGTGGGAGAGATCGGCTTATGTCGCCTCCCCATGGAGACAGACTTAACTGCTGCTAATTATGCTACTAATTCCCTAAGAGCAAGTTCAAGAAGACATTTGTGGGAAGAGGGAATTGAGAAATCTAAATCTTGCTTTGGGTCTTCTGCTATGCTTGATGTCCAGGCTATTCAGCATGAGGAGACTTTGATGGGTGTCTCTAGACCTGACAATTTACCATAAACACTATGATGAGGTTCTGTTTGTCCCAAAGCTAGTGAGTTCAGGGTGTCAGTCTGTATCTAGACACAGTGATGAATAAGCATTGGCAAGGAAGTGTTGATTCAAATCATGAAATACACAACATAATGTTATGGAGATTTTGTTTCAGTCATCATGTAAAACATTTAATCTTTTATAGGACATGAATTGTAGAATCATTGAGATGTTTTAGGGATCCTTGGAGATCATATAGTCCAACCCTCCTCTGCTCAAAGCAGAGACAGGTAGTGCATGTTGGTTGGTGCTGTGTTCAATAGGGTTTTGAGGCTTTTCAAGGATAAGGACTCCACAACCTCTCTGGACAACCTGGTCGATTCTTTTGACTTTAAGGATTTGACTACTCACAGTAAAATGTTTTGTTCGTTTTCTCCCTTATGCGTAAGTGGAATTTCCTGTATTTCATCTGAGGTGCTTGTCTTTTCACTGGGTATCACTGAGGACAGTGAGTCTTATCTTTCACTTCTTCCCATCACACGTTTGTATATGTTCACAAAGAGCCCCCGAAGCCTCTCTTGATATCAAGTAATCCCAGCTGCCTTCTACATCTTGCACTGGTCTTCAAATCCTGATCAAATAACCAGGATACCAAAGATTTCTGAAAACAAGCGCTGTTTGCTGTTCTTTTACAAATGCTAGATTTGCATATCTTAAGTAGCCCTGGTAAGTGTTTTAGTCCTGCTGGCAGTCAGGTGCCAGACCCAAAACCTTTGTCCACCTGCTGTTTAGACACTTGTTTCTCAGCAGTGCCTGGCTGGTCTGAAATACAGAAATAGCTTCTAGAGGAGGAACAAGCCACAGGTCACCCAGTCTTTTCCAAACTCCATGCAATTAGTAGCTACAGGAGCCACATTAGCTGGATTCTTTTTTTTGACGGGGAGGTTGGGGGGTAGGGAAATGGGGGTTGGGTTTGTGTTGCTGTTGGTGGTGGGTGGTTGTTGTTGTGTCCTGTTGTCCCTCTCCCAGAAGCAGCAGTGTGGTTGTTCTGAAATTGTGAACAGGGGAAGTATTTGGTCAGTTAAATGCCTCTTATATTTAAATAATGGTTGAATGAGGTTTTCATTTCTTTTGTGTCTGTTGCTGTCTGGTTTGGTTTTGTTCAGGCATTTTATTAGGTCTAACTACTGAAATTGGTAACAAGGAAAAATGATGTGATAATCTATGGGGTTGATGAAATGGGAATGGCAACTTGATTGGAATTTTTTTGTACTAATTTAAATGATGAGTAATAAATCGTGATTTAAGTGGTGAACCTGTCTATTTTTTTTATAGGCCTTTCATAAGGGTGAGGGACAAAAGTAGGGAAATGCTTCAGGTGAACAGCAGAAGGGGTTCACAGCAGCTCTGAGCCCTGCTTCAGTTCATAGGACAAAAACTGGCTAAGACTACTGAAGATTCAAAGGGGGGGTCATCCTGTATCAGGCTGGCACAAGATGCTCACTGCCCCTTTATAGGCAGAGGAACTACATTTAAATTTAGTTTTTGAAGCTTGTTTCTATTTTACATCATCTCTCTGATCTGACAGAAGATAGGGTGTTTAAATGTCTTTGTTCTGCTTTTGGAGTTTCACAATTTTGAAAATGTACTTTTTATCTTTTAAAAACTTTTAATGATATAGCATGTAACAATGTCCCTTACAGAAAAAGAGAACCCCCACTAATGAAATAACTGATAGTGCAAGGAAAGTAGAGCTCTCAAGAGCTCTTCCTCCTACCCTGAGCTAACTAAATCAAGCACCAGTGGTGCAAAAAGCAGTTCTAGCCCATTTAGGGAAATAGGCTTAGTGAAGGTATCCTGAAGTTCTTTTTCTCACTTTTGTGAGGCCACATAAAACCTATTATACCCTATTCTCAAGATTAGGATCCTAAGCTCCAGCACAGCCTCCAAAGCATTAACAAATGGGGTGAGGAAGGGGAAGGATTGAGCCTCAGCAATTTAGTCTGGTCTTGCCCTGCCCTACCCTTTCCTGAATGTAGTAAGGAGAGAGGCCACTGTTAAAGAGCTGTGGTTAAGTGAATAGTGATTGTATTTTAAGGTGTGTATAGGTGGAGATTGCAGTTGAGTAGTTTATTTAGCTTCCTCTAACTTCACTGCTTCTTCCCCCCTGCCTCCAAGAAGCCTGCCACTCCCCCCTAAGTCTGCAAAGGCCCTCAAGTGCCCCTTGAGTTACATAAAGAGGTAACTAGCATCTTGACCTGCATCATTGCTGATCTCTAAGCCCAGGGTAGCCTTCTGGAATTTGCTCCTTTGTTTGGGCCCAGGATCTACCATCTACCTCCTTTTACTTACTCTACTAACTGTTACCATCCTCCTTATGGAGCTTCCTTCTGCATTTCCTTTTCCTTGCAACTTGAAAATTATTCATGGTAGAAAATCAGAATTTAAATGGAGCTTCCTTCTGCATTTCCTTTTCTAAAGGGAGCAACATCCAGGGCAAGTGCAACTTGAAAATTATTCATGGTTTAAATTCTGATTTTCTTAGATGGGGAAAAGAAAACCCCATAACTTCACACAATATGAACAAGCATTCACTATTTTTATTGTTTCATGCTCTTACTGTAGAACTCTTTAAGAATACAAGGAAGCTGTCAATAAAAGATGAAAATGCAACAATCTAATACACATGTGCCATAACTTTAGACTTTAACATCTTATTTAAACCTGAAAAAGAATATTTTCACAAAGTAGAGGAAGGAAAGTTAAAACACAGTCCTAACCCACAAAAGTTTTATATAGCTCAGAAAGCTTTCCTTTTTGGTGAAACACTGGAATAACACTATACTTAAGTATGCTATATATCAAATTTCTCTTCACAGATATTGTGGCCATGCTCTTCATAATCTTCTCTGGTTACTACCATATCTTCAAAATCATCATTTTCAGAAATGAGTTTCCCACCTTCCCAGGAATACGTAATAGGACTGGAGGAGAAAAAAAAAAAAAAAAAAAAAAACAAACACACACACACACACACACACAACATTAGTTTCCAGTAAACTCCCTTAAAATGAAGTATGCAGTAAACATACTGCAGACAAGACATGCATTTAACCACATGCCTTAATAAGACAACATTAATAAAACTAGAAAAGACTGTCAAGATAATTTTGTCTCCAAACAGCTCAAGAGCTGAATAGTTTGATTTGGCAATCGAAGTTTCACATTTTAACAGAACTGACCCACAGTGATATCTAGAGACATGTATGAAGGGGTGTGAAATTAGGAGTTTAAACCACTTATTTTTACTCTTTAGTGCTTCATAAACTACATCATTTGTAAGTCTAGACTTTATATGTGTATTATACAGTTCAATATTGTCAACTGTTTTTCTTGCCTCAACTGTTCATTTTGCATAGCTACTACAAATTACAAATTCCTAAAAGGGCTACATGAATAGCAATTCATATAATTGAAGTTTTTCTTAGAAAAAGATTTAAGCTCTTCTTTAAAGTATTTGCATATCTGCTTCACTTAGTGATAGCCTTAAGTTTATCTGCAAGTGTTTCAAAGATCAGACTTACTAGACAAAGTACAACACAAGCAGGTGGTCTCTAATCTGTTCAGTTCAGCTGAAAATCACTTAATAAAAACATGCTTCTTGTACAACTTTGAAAAGATACTTAGGCTGAGTAAAAGGAATAAAGATGTCAATGAGCAAGAAAAAAAAAATCCTACTTGATTTGATTCTGTTGATTCTGCCAGAAGAACAAAGCTTGTTCTGCTGTTTGAGACTTACTTTTCAGGAAGAACAACAGAAACATCATAATCAGTTGGAGTAAGGCATCGAACTTCTGCATAGACACGATCTCTAAAGCCTGGGAAAAGGGTGTTTCCTCCAGTCAGAACTATGTTCTTGAAGAAATGAGGCTGCATTTCTTGAAAATAAATAATTTTAGTTAGAGACTACATCATTATTTATTCCATTTTTTGTTTGTAACAAAATAAGAGATACACAAATAGCTGATGCTTAATTTACTATCCCTTCGAGTTGTTTTTTCTTCTTCTATTTTGAATGAAAAAGAAATGTATTTTAAAACCAAAAATTATGTTCAAGTTATCAAAGGTATTTTAGTTGCATTAGGAAAGGTTGGGAGGAATTCAGTCTACACTGACTAACTGGGATAGGGGTGGAAAATAACTAAACAGCAGGAAACCTATGTTTACATAAGAGGGAATCTTTTAGGCAGTTATCATTTCTCGGGGTGTACAAGACCAGAAGTTACATCACTACACTATAGTAACAGACATAGTGAGAGTACTAAGTTCCTAAGACACGTTGTATGGTTTAAA